GGGGACTCATTCCCGTGCCCGGCGATCTCGTTCCCATGGTACTCGCGCGTTGCAACTCCCCGACGCTTCCGCAGCTGGCAGCTTCCACCAATCGGCGCAGCTCAACCCCGGCGCAGCTTCCCTCGGCGGTAGGTTTAGTCTGCCTGTGCGGCGCGCGCGCCGTCAATTAGGGTGCCCGCGGCTCGTGCTACTCCACTGGCGCTGTCGGCTCGTTAGCCTGCAGCTGCGATTAAAAACCCCACCAGCCCATCCAGAAACGATGCCCAGAGGCATTGCTTCGATCAGGGAGTTGGGCAGCACGCAGAGGAAGGGTCCCTCAGTGGAGGCCTCTTGGAGCTTCTTGGGGACATCTTGGCGGTCCCGGGCGCCTCGCAGAGCGTCTCGGGCGTCTCTGAGAGCTTCTTGGGGCCCCCTGGGGGTCTCTTAGGAGCCTCTTGGAGGCCTTTTGGGCGCCTGTTGGGGCCTCCTGGGCACCTCTTGGGCCCTCTTGAAGCGCTCTCGGGAACCTTGGGGGCGCTCTTGGAGCCCTCTTGGGCCATCTTGGAACCATCTTGAGGCCTCGGATGGCCATCGGGAGCGCAAAGGCGAGAAAGTCAAAGACATGAATTTACCCAAGGTTTTGGGAGGATGTTGGCCTCTTCGGGGCCTCCTGGGAGAGCTTGTTGGCCAGTTGGAGCCGTCTTGGAGCGGTATTGGGGCTTCTTGGGGCATCGTGGGAGCCATCTTGAGGCATCTCGGGATATCTAGAGCCAGGAAATTAGGCATTCTCCCACCCAGTACAACGTTTCGTGGCCCCATAGGGAGCTCCACCGAAGCCCCCAGTGGGACCGTCCACATGCGCCCCGAGAGCCCAATTTGGCATTTTCCTTCACCCATTACAGCGCTTCGTGGCCCCATAGGGAGCCCCACCGACGGCCCCAGTGGGGCGGTCCGCATGCAACCCGGAAGCCTAATTTTGGCATTTTCCTTCAACCCAGTACAGCGTTGCGCGGGCCCTCAGGGAGGCCCACCGAAATCCCCAGTGGGACCGTCCGCGCGCGCTTGGTTCCATTTCCCCGTTACTTTCGTTTTGTCTTGCAAATTTCCCAGAGGCGCCGACTGCGCCCGTGCGCAGCCTCGAGCGCGGGGCGCAGGAGCTCGCGCGCGCTTGCGCCGCGAGCCCGAACCAGCTCGCCAGGTCGCGCCTACGGCGCCGCTCGTCGGCGCTGCGCACGCCGCGCCATTTCGCGTCCCCTGACCAATCGCTACGCGACGTCCCATGAGCCGCGCGCGCCACGGCAAAGGGCGCGCGCTGCTCACGTAGAAGGACGAGGCGCCATGTCTGCGAGATGTCCTTGGCTTTTCGCGCGCGCCCCCAGCGTTCGCCCCCGCGCGCTCCATCGCGAGCCTCGTCGCCGAATGCCATCGCGTGCCAGGCCTGCCGGCGCGATGCGCGCCCGCGAGATGTCGCCCATTGCCTGGCGGCGCGGCAGCGGTGGCGACTCCGCCGCCACGGGGCGCGAAGGTCGCCTCCTTCGAGCACCTGCCCCCGCGGCTGCGCGGCGGCCCGCTGGCGGCGAAGATCGCGCGCCGGCTGCCTCGATTGCCGTCGCGCGGGCGCCCGTCGCGCTTTTGTCTCAAAGCGGCTGCGCGCGCGGGGCGATTTTTTTTTGTCGCGCGTCTTTGCGTGGCGCGCCAGAGCGCGGGGGCCGCTGCAGGGGCGTCGCGCGGCGGCGGGCCGCTGGGGCGACGCGCGCGGCGACGGTCGGCTCGTTGCTGCAAACGCGCAGCGGGCGCCGATGCTTCGTCGCCTTGAAGTGCCATTCGGCTGCTTCGCTGTCGGATGCCTTCGCTCGGTCCGGCTCGGTCGGCCCGGCGCGCCTCGGCGCCCTCTGCGGCGGCGATCGGGGCGTCGGGTTGGGTTCCGGCTGTGGCCCGCCCAGTCGGTTGGCGCTTTCTATTTTGATATGTTCGCGCGCTTTGCCACCCGCGTTTGCCCTCGCGGCGGCCGGCGCGCGCCGCGCGCTCAACCTGCCCCTGGCGGGGGGCAGCGGCTGGCGGCGCGGCGGGGGCGCCGCGGTCGCGCGAACCCACGCCCATCGCCCGGGCGCGCATTTCGGGCGCGTTGGCGCGGGCCGGGGCCCATGGCGGCCGAGCTAAGCCCTAGTGCAATGTGTTTCCATATTCTGCCCCGCGCTGACCACTTCCGTCCGTCTTCGGGGGCGGGGCGGGCGGGCGTGGCGGGGGGCGGCGCGAGGGGGGGGGGGGAAGGGGGAAGGGTCGTTTTGGGCGGAGAGGTGAAGAAATGTTTGGCAGGGCGCCCGGGGCGCCCAGTTCATGACGCCCACGCTTGACGCCGCGTGGCCCGTAGAGCTGCCCAGGTCGGGCGGTGGGGCCCGCCCCCTGGCCCGGCGGCCGCCGCGCCGCTGCGGGCGGCGGTGCTCGCGCGCCCCTCCGCCGTGCATCAGTGCTTCCTGCTGGGCGAAGAACCAAAACGGAACGGGTCGTCGCGTGGGCCCTCGTCGCCAGCCTTGGTCATGCATCTCGCGGTCTTTGGCGAGTGTGTCATCTGCGCTGGGGGCGATGACGTCCGCCGTGTGATCGGTTGCCCCGGGGTCGGGCATGTTTGTCCTTGGTGCTGTCCGTCACCTTCGCTCGCTTCTGCCGCTGGCTGCAGCGGCCTCTCGGTCGCCCCTCTACGTCCGCTGTTCACGCCGCGCGTGGTTAGCATGGCTCCTTTTGACGACGTCCTGTTTTCATCGTGCCGCGCGGTGAAGGCTAGCGTGGAAGAAAAGAAAAACAGCATGCCACATCGCATGCTGGAGCGTTTGCCCGACGCGCGACTGCGAGAGGCGTCCGCACCTGGGGCAATGTCCAACGCTGACACGTGGAAACTCGTTGCGGTGTGTGTCGTCCTGCTTCCAGTCTCCTCGCCCTTCGCTTCCTCCTTGCCTTCGTCGTCCACGTCCGTATGCTCCTCGGCGCTCTCTACGCATATTCCGCCGCCGAGGATCGCCAGGCGTCTTTGGGCCCCCGCGCACACGCACAGCGCAAACGCCTAGCAACGTAGACGACACCAAATGGCCAACGCAGCGCGCAAAGTCACAACGCTGTGCTTGCGTATCTAAGCACTACGTGGCGCGTTTGCATATTTTTGGGGCTTCGAAGTGGTTTGCCATCGTTCATGTTCCACCCGCCAGGCTTTTCGACGCGTCAGTGTGTCCCACATGCTTCGTCGTGCTGTAGCTCATCAGCCGGATCACCGTTGGGTAGATGGGGAGGATGACGACGATGGGGATGAGGCGGAAGGGGAGGCGAAGGAGGGGGAGGTGGAAGAGGTGGAGCGAAAAGGAGCAGGAGGAGAAGATGATGAGGACATGGAAAGGGGGGAACGATGATGGCCGTTGCGGCGGCCGCCAGAAGTTTCGCCCGCGCGCGGCGATCATGACGACGAAGGCGCCGACGGCCCTGGAGGCGACGAAATCTACGACGGCGTCGGCGACGACGCTTTTTTCCCCATGTGCGTTTCCATCGTGTGTTTTCGCCTCCCTTGCCACGGCAAGCCGTTGAACCCCATTCAGGATGGGTCGTGAAGCGAAGGCGTGGGGCGCCAAGGTAATTAGCTCAATATCCCTACATGTTTTTGTTTTGTTGTTTTTTCCTCCTCCTCCTCCTCGTCCTCCTCCTCCTCCTTCTCGTCGCACTCCCCTTCGACCCCGTGACCCACAAACGGCGGCGGCGAAAACGACGACGATGGGGGCGGCGGCGGTTGCGGCGGCCGCGGCGACGACGGAGACGACCCGCCTCAGCCCCAGTTTGTGTCATAGGGGGCCTGAAGTCGTTCCCAGATTGTACGCGCTACTCCCTCTGAACACGCGTGCCCGCTTCGATGGCCGATATGCTGGACCACATTGCCGACCCATGTTCCGCGGCGACAATACGCCTCTTCAGGGCTTCCGACACTTCGTTATCCTCCTCCTCCTCCTCTTCCTCCTCTTCCTCCTCCTCCTCCTTTACGTTTGTCATGGTCCTCCCTTCCCGTTTTCTCTTCACATGTTGACGGCGGCGACAAACAATCGACGGCGGAGAAGACGACGACGAAGACGACGTTGACGACGACGACGACGATGACGGCGACGAAGGCGACGACGTTGGCGGCGGCGACAACGACGACGGAATCTCCTCCTGAACATTTCATAATCTTGACCACCCTCCTTCAGAACGAGGGAGACGATGAGGATAATGATGATCATGACGAGGGTAATGAGGACGAGGATGAGATCAGGAAGAGGAGGAGGAGGACGAGGTGAAGGAGGAATGGGTAGGGGAGGAGGAGGAGGAGGGGGAGGAGGAGGAGGAGGAGGAGGAGATGGAGGGAAAGAGGAGGAGGAGGAGGAGGACGAGGAAGACGAGGAGGAGGAGGGACGAACATGATGATGATGATGATGATGATGATGATGATGATGATGATATGATGATGAGGAGGAGGAGGAGGAGGGAGGAGGAGGGAGGAAGACAATGAGGAGGAGGGGGCAGGAAAGGAGGGGGAGCAGCAGGAGGATTAGGAGGGGGCAAATGAAGAGGAGAAGGTGGAGGAGGAGGAGAAGAAGCAGGAGGAGGAGGAGGAGGAGGAAGGGGGTGGGACGGGTGGTGGAGGGTGCGGAGGAGGAAGAGGAAGAAGAGGAGGAAGGAGGAGGAGGAGGAGGAGTAGGAAAATGACGAGGACGAGAGAAAAGGATGTGGAGGACCTCCTCCATCCACCTACCACCTCCTCTTCGTCCTTCTATTTCCCCTCGTCCTCCTCTTTCCCCTCCTCCTCCTCCTCCTCCTCCTCCTCCTCCTCCTCCTCCTCCTCTTTCCCCCCCTCCTCCTTTTCTGCCTCTTCCTCCTCCTCCTCCTCCTCCTCCTCCTCCCCCTCCTCCTCCCCCTCTCCCTCCGAACCCATCGCGACCGCTGCCAGCGGCGACGGCGCTCCTTGGCGGCGGTCCCGCCCCCGCGCGGCCGCGCGCGTTCCACGGAAGGCCGCGGCGGCGAGGCGTCCATCTGCCGCGATTTGCCGCAGCTGTCCCGGGTCTCCATGCAGGAGGCCCGCCGCCCCAACCGGGCACGGCGCGGCCGCGGCGCGGCCCACGCCGGCCACGACATCGACATCGACGGCGACGGCGACGGTGACGGCGACGACGCCGGCAACGAGGACCACGACGACGGCGACGACGTGGATTGTGACCATGACGGCGTGACGACGGCGACGACGACCACGACGACGGCGACCATGAACACGACCACGACCACGACCACGACCACGACCACCGATGACCACCGCCGCGACGATGCCGACGGTGGCGGCGCGCCTCGCTGGCCACGGCGCCACGGCGCCACGGCCAGCGCCGCGACGACACCGACGGCGACGGCGGCGGCGCCGATGGGGGGCCTCCCGGGGCGCCCCCGCCGTCACGGCTGGATCCGCTCCGAGGTGAAGGCCAGGAGCGCGATCCTGTAGGGCCACCACGAGGGTGCGGAGTGAGCCGCGCTTCGCGGTCTGAGCGACGTGGGCGGCGCGCAAGCGCGAAGATGGTCGCGCTTCGCGGAGCGCGAAGCGCGAAGATAATCGCCCATGGATCCTGGAGAGGTCCTGGGACGAGTTGAGGAGGGGAGGACGGCGGCGGCGGCCACGACGATGGCGATCGTGGTGCCATGGGGCACCAATCACAGGGCACCAACCACAGGGCACCCATCAACCCCTCTGGCCCCCTGGTCGCCTCCGCAACCACTTCTCCCCCCCCCCCAGTCCGCTCTCCGCTGCCCTTCGGTCCCCCTCCCCTCTGCTAGCAGGAAGCGGGCAGGACGTAGGAGGAGGAGGAGGAGGAGGAGGAGGAGGAGGAGGAGGAGGAGGAGGAGGAGGAGGAGGAGGAGGAGGAGAGGGGGAGGGGGAGGAGGAGGAGGAGGAGGAGGAGGAGGAGGAGGAGGAGGAGGAGGAGGAGGGGGAGAGGAGGAGCAGGATGATGATGATGATGTGATGATGATGGATGATGATGATGATGATGATGATGATGATGATGAGGATGAGGATGAGGATGAGGATGATGATGAGGATGAGGATGAGGATGAGGAGGAGGAGGAGGAGGAGGAGGCGGATGAGGAGGAGGAGGAGGAGGAGGAGGAGCAGCAAGACAGGAGGAACAAAAGGAAGGAGGAGTTTCGAGGAACGGGAAGTGGGAGGAAAATGAGGCAGGAAGAAGGTGATCTATAGAGGAGGAGCAGGAGCAGGAGGAGGAGGAGGAGAAGCAAGAGCAAGAGAAGGAGGGGGGGAGGATGTGCAGGATTAACATGCAGTAGAGGATGGAGGAAGAGAAGGATGATGACAAGGAAACGGAACAGGATGAAGCTGAGGAGGAGGAGGAGGAGGAGGAGGAGGAGAAAGAGGAGGTCGAGGATGGAGGATGGAGGAGGGGGAGGATCACGAGGAGGAGGAGGAGGATCACGAGGAGGAGGATGAGGCGGAAGACTGTCCTCCGCTGCCCTCCGCTCCTCTAATCCCTTGCCCTCCTCCTGTGTCACTCTTCCTTTTCCCCCTCCTCCTCGTCATCCTCCTTTTCTTCATCCTTCTCCCAACCTCGTCATCAGTTGTTCTCGTTCTCCTTGATGCTCGAGGCCGCAGACGGTCCTGGGTCAAGCCCTGGCGCCCTCGCCTCCCGCTCTTCCTCCTTCTGCACCTTGCCTCCTCCATCCTCTACCTCTTGCTTCTCTTCCCGCCTCCATCCTCGGCCCTCTCCTCCCCCTCGTCACGCCTCGTCCCCTCCATCCTCCACCGACCCCCCCCCTCCTCACCCTCGCCCTCCCCCACCTCTTCCCGCTCCTCCTCCATCCTCCACCCCCTCCTCCTCCCTCCGCCCTTCGTCCCTATCCTCGCCCTCCCTCCCCTGCCCCCCTCCAATCCGCCCCCTCCCCCCCCCGCCGCTCTGCTGCCGCCCTGATCCGATCCGCGCCGCCCACAGGTCTCCGAGGGCCGCGAGCGGAGGACCACCCGCACTGGCAGCCGCCCCAGCAGCGGGCTCGAGACGCAGTCCCTGCTGCAGGCGCGCGACCGGCGGCCGCCCCTCGCCGCCGCTCCGCGCTCGCTCCGTGCTCGCTCCGCGCCGCCCTACTACGCCCGGAAGAGGAGAAGGCACAGTGGGACACGGAGCGACGGGCCGCGCCAGGGGAGGAGGAGGAGGAGGTGGAGGAGGAGGAGGAGGAGGAGGAGGAGGAGGAGGAGGTACGTCTTCCTCTTCTGATCGGCTCTCATCGATGGGGGGCGAGGGTCATTAGATCTTCGGAGTTCGCCGCGTGCTCGGCGCATTCCGATCCCTGCCCCCGCCGCCCATGGAGCTGCTGGAATCCTTTATCGGCGACCGGCGCCGAGAGGCACCAGGACAACCAGCTATGCGTGAGCTGATTGTCTACCCTGCCCGTTGCTATCCTGTACTTTCGCCCCCCCTCCCCCCCCCCCCGACTTAGCCCCTCGCGATCGGGGTTGCGGATCTGATTTACGATTCGTTTCATTTGTCTCGTGATGCAACCCCCCCCGCCCACGCAGGCCCTGGCCAAGAACCCGCTGGCCTTCGACCCGCTGCAGGGCAACACCGAGCACGGGGCCAAATTTCGTGGCGGGCGCGGCCGTCGTCATCGTCGTCGTCGACGCCACCGCCGCCGTCGTCGTCGTCGTCGTTGTCGTTGTCGTTGTCGTGGTCGTGCTCGTTGTCGTCGTCGTCATGGTCGTCGCCATCGTCGTTGTCGTCGCCGTCGCCGCCGCCGTCGTCGTCGTCGTCGTCATGGTCGTCATGGTCGTCGTCGTCGTTGTCGTCGTCGTCGCAGTCGTTGTCGTCGCCGTCGTCGTCGTCGTAGTCGTTGTCCTCGCGGTCGTCGTTGTCGTCGACGTCGTCGTCGCAGTCTCCGTTGCCGTCGTCGTCGCCGTCGCCGTCGCCGTCGTCTCCGTTGTCGCCATCGTCGCCGCCGCCGCTGTGGTCGTGGTGGCGATGGTGGTGGTGGTGGTGGTGGTCGTCGTCACCTGTGGCGGCTGCGGCGGCGTCTCGGAGGCCTGCGGAGGCCTCCAGGGGCTTGTTCCTCCCTCCTCCTCGCCCTCACAGTCATCGTGCTTCTCCGCCTCGTCCTGCCCCTCGGCCCTCGTCTTCCCCCCCCCCCCCCTCTCCCGCTTGCGCGAGGAGGAGGAGGAGGAGGATGGATCGTTGACCAGATTTCAATCTACTTTAGCCGCCTTCCTACTTCAAGAGTCGAGTGTTTTTCTTTCTTCCATCCCCTACAGGAGGCGGGCGGAAACCCAATCTACTTCAACGCCTTCCTACGTCGTGTTCCTACCTACTCCTGCCGACCGATGGTTCTGGTATTGCAGGTTAAGGATGTTTCCAGAGATCCCAGCTCTGTAAGAAGAACGCGCCCCCCACCCATCCGTGTAACCTTTGCGCAAGTTTGAACAATAATGGTGATACGATTCGACGACGTATCAAGCGAAGGCGCTATGAATCCGGTGCGACCCCGATTGGGGGAACGATTTCGATTGCATGGGTGCATAGCGTGACTTTGCCTGGCGTTACTTGGCCTTGCTCGGCATTGACTGGCGTTGCTTGGAGTTGCTTGGGGTTGCGTGGCGTTGCTTGGTGTTGCTTGGTGTTGATTGACGTCGCATAGCATTGTTTCTCATTGATTGACGTTGCCTGGCATCGCTTTGTAGTACGTGGCGTTGCTTTGCATTAACTTGGCATGGCTTTGCATTGCTTGCCGTTGCTTGGCATTGCTTGGTATTGCTTGGCTTTGCTTGGGACTGCGTGGCGTAGCTTGGCTTAGGTTCGGCAGTTCTACTACAGGGGTCCACCGAGAAAACCTGCAACATTCATCGGGAAATCTTCAAGAGGAAACTCAAGCCCAAGCAAAACTTGAAAACAACTCTAAACCAACACCTGGGAAAATCTCAAACCCCAGAAAAACTTCAAAACATCTCTAAGCCAACACCTGGGAACGTCTCAAACTCAAGAAAAATCAACTCCAGAAAAATCTGAAGAAGAGAATTCGAAAAAAAAACAGATGCGCGCTTGAACACTTAACAGAACACGGCCAGATTGTTTTAGAGATGGCTCTGAGTTGTTAGTTTCCGAGGCCGCCAGGGTTTGCATGCAGAGTTGTTGTTTTATGGTGTTGCTTCCAAATTGGTTTGAAGTTTGTCAGGTGACCAGGGATTTGTTCAGAGTTTGTGTTGATACTTGTTTTAGAGTTTTCAGGCGTGTATATGTTTAAAAGTTTGTCCTATTAGAAAATAATCGTTTCGAGTTGTTTGGGACGTTTCTCTTTCAAAAGAACGTATATATATATATAAATATATGCTTATATTGTTTTAGACTTTCGGTTTCAAGTTTTTGTTTGGTTTAAGTTTTCCCCTGGTTTTGATTTAGAGATTGTCCAGGGCATTTTTCGAGGTTGAGATTTTCCCAGGTCTTGGCTTAATGCTTTTTTGAAGGTTTTTAGGGTTTGATATTCTCCCAGGTTTGAGCTTAGATATTAGTTGAAGATGTTTTTGGGTTTGAGATTTTCGCATGTTTGGGTCTAGAGTTTTTCGAAGTTTTGGGGGGGGGGTCGGGATTTTCGCAGGTTTTGGCTTAGAGTTTGTTTGACGTTTTCTTCGAGTCGGAGTTTCTTCGCGCGATATGGCGGTGGACCGCCTGTAGTCGCTATTGCCGGACCTAAAGCTTGACATTGCTTGGGGGCAAGGCCAAGCACCCCGGGAACGCAGTAAGGTAGCAAGGCCACGCAACCCCGGGGGATGCAGGAAGCACATTAGACAACACAATCACAGGGAACGCCACAGTCAGGAAGCAAGGTTGAGTAACCCTGGGGAACGCCACAGTAAAGAAACAATGCCAAGCACCCCCAGGGAGCGGCTGGTATGGAATCAAGACGAAGCAGCCCTGGGGGGACGTCAGCTGGCCAGGCCAGGCAGCTACCGGCTCGTCACAAACAAGTGGGAACCCTTTTCAGCAAAGCCCAGTCGGGGAATTATTGGGCGCTGCTTGGCATTGCTTATAGCATTGTTTGGCATAGCTTCGCGTTGCTTTGGGTTGCTTGGTGTTGCGTGTCATTGCATGGCATTGCCTGTCGTTGCTTGCCGCTGCTCGGTGTTGCTCGGCATTGCTCGACAGTGCTGGGAAAGCGAGACCAGGCATCCCGGGGAGCGAAGCAGTATCACAAGACCAAGAAGTCGTGGGCATGCAGCTAGCAAGCAAGACCAAGAGACCCCAGGGAACACCAGAGTGAAGAAACACAAGTTAGAAACACAGGGGAACACCACAGTTAATTTGTAGGCACGATCAAGCAGCCCCTTGAACGCTGGCGCGACCGCGTCTGGCACCCACCGGTTCCTACACAAACGAGCAGACAAGGAATTTTGGCAAGGCCGTGTAAGGAGGCAAGTCCAAGCAACCCCGCGGATTTCCTTCATCAGAAAACATGGAAAAGCAAGCCCGGGGAACCCCGTCGCGACCAGGTTCTGGAACTGAAACCCAGGGGAACCCCGTCGACGAAATGTTGCAATGGGAGCGTGCTGACGCTATTCAATCAAAAAGGTACAGCTTAGGCTTATGATTTCTGCCGTTTGGGAAGACTGCGTTTGCGCCCTTGCTCCGCATCTGAATCCTACCCACAAGTCTGCTTATCATGTTCTCACCATCAGCACCCACCAGTGCCTTCACAAACGAAGCAGACGCCCACGGCAAAGCCTGAACGGGATTTGTTTTGAAGAAAAAGTTTCCCTCTATCCGTGCAGCTGCTGCAGCTGCTACATCTGAGGGGGTCTCAAGCGAGAGCCCCGTTTCGCAAAGGAGCCGCCTTCCAACCTTTTAGCTCTTGTTCGTTCGTCTCCTCGAAGTCCGTTCTGCTGCGCTTGGAGCACGCGGCGAAACGCTGCGAGCACGCGTGTACCTTACCAGGTCCCGAAGCTCGTCGGGGCAACTCTCGCCGTAGCGTTGTTATAACTGCTGTCCTTGTAACTGCTGCATTGTTCTAGGACGAATGTGCGCGTCGCTAAGGCGAGGGCCCCATTTTGACATGGAGCTTTCCCCCAGTAAAGGAGGAGAAGGAGGAGGAGGAGGAGGAGCAGCAGGAAGAGGAGGGGTGGAGGTGGAAGAGGCTGGAGGGGAAGGAGGATGAGGAAGAGGAGGAAGAGGAAGAGGAGGAGGAGGCGCAGGAGGAGAAGGAGGAGCAGGAGGAGCAGGAGGAGGAGGGGAGGATCACGAGGAGGAGGAGGACCTGTGTAAACCCAAGAGTCATCAACCATGTTGGAATAACCCACCTTCCAAGCTCCCTCTTCATAGGCTCCTACAACGGCTCATCCCCACTGAGGGAACTACCTCGTCGAAAGACAACCGTATGAAGATTCTGAAACTTGTCAACAAGTTGTTTTCGGGATTCCAACGTCACGGATCAACCTGACTGTTGCGTTCTGGCGAGCAGGAACCGTGCCAAAACGCCATATTTGGAACTCAAACACCGCGAATCAACTTAATCGTAGCACCCGCATAATCCTGAATCTTTCCAAAACACCTTTTTTTGGTACGTTGATCATGGGAATCCGTGAAGCTCTTGTAAATGGTATAATTCGACGAATGTGCGCGGCGTTTAGGCGACAACCACATTTTGAAAAGGAGCCGCCCTCAACCCATGAAGCTCTTGCAAATTTGTAAAACGAATGTTCACGGCGCTAAGGCGAGAGCCACATTTTGAAAACCACCCGCACTCAATCCGTGAAACTCTTGCCACCGTTTAAAGACGAATGTGCGCGGCGCGAAGGCGAGGGCCACATTTTGAAAAGGAACCGCCCTCAATATGTGAAGCTCTTGCATTTGTTTCAGCGAATGTGCGCGGCGCTAAGGCGAGAGCCACATTTTGAAAACCACCCGCCCTCCATGTGTGAAGCTTCAGCTTCAGGGTCATTTGTGGTGAGGAAGTCTCAGGCGAAGCGCCCGGCCCGCCCTAAAAATTGGCGTCGGAATGCGACAGTGGGTAATCAATTATCAGGAAAAGGATGGAAAAAGAGGGTTCAGGAGGAGGGTCCCCAGCGCACGCGCAAGGTTCGGCGGGGAAAGGCTGGCTCGCGCAGGCCTCGTCCAGCCACGCGCAGGAGTGACCCTGCTCGCCGGCGTTGCCTCCGGTGCGTGGCTTTCGGGCGGCGCGAGGGGTCCAGGCCCGAACTCGCGCGGGACCCCCACGCAGCCACCAGGCCGCGCACCAGAGGCCACGTCGGGCCCAGGGCCACTCTTGCGCCTGGCCGCTTCTTCGGCCGGCCATCCCCTGCTCACCGCTCTGGCTGCAGCGGGTGCGGATAGAGGCGCCGACACCGCTGCTCCCCGGGACCTCTTCGAGGGCGCCGTGGCAGAGTTGGCAGTGCAGGAACACGAAGTGCAAAGCCTGGAACTCAGACAACCAATGGTGGCGCAAATGTGGACAGCCGTAGAAAGGAAAAACAAGAAGTTGGAAGGAGATAGAAGGCGAAAACAAGAAGTGGAACAAGAAGAAGCAGGGCCAAGACAAAGCCATTCAGGACGTCATCGGCGCCATGGCCCCTGCGGCAGATCGAGATGCACGCAAGAGCAGAAGATGCGAG